AGAGGAATGGTTGGAGTGTGGGCAGGAGGGAGGGTAGGGGGAAAAGTATGACTGTGTTCCTAAATCTGTTTATATGAAATACATGAAACTTATATAACTTAAATCAAATAAAAAATATTTAAAGTGCAGATGAAACACCATTCTCTGGTAATAATAAAGTTGATTTTGAAAATTTATTTTCATTTTATTTGAAGGCAGAGGGACACACACATACACACAGAGTGAGATCTTGCATCCACTGGTTTACTCCACAAATGCCCATAACAGCTGGGACTGGGCCACTCCAAAGCCAGGATACCAGAATTTCCTGTCTCTCTGTGATTGGCAGGGACCTAAGTCCTTGAGCCTGCTGCCTCTGAGGATACACGTTAGCAGGCAGCTGGACTGGAAGAGTGTAACCAGCACTTGAGCCAGGTACTCTGACATGGGGTGTGGTAGTCCTGAGTGGCTACTTAGCTGCTGTGCCCAGCAATCACCCCAAAGTTAAATTTTATAGCATTTAGATAATAAAAAGCCTCTACTAATTGGAAAATTTAAAGTTTTCTCTTAAATCTCTTGGGATAAAGAGAAAATACAAATAAAATTATTTTATAGAAAACAACAAAAATGAAGATACCACATATCAAAATCTGTGGTATATGGTTAAAGTATTATGCCTTCCTCAATATGGAAGGAAGGAAAAATAAAAGATTAAGTACTCACTTCATAAATTGGAAAAAGAATAAAATGGAACAAAACAGGAAAAGATAACTAATGAAAACAGATAATGAAATTAATGATAACAGAAATCGTGTAAAGGAATCTATTTATATAAGTATTTTAAAGATTTATTTATTTATTTGAAAAGCAGAGTTGTAGAGAGGGAGAGACAGAGAGAGATCTATCTACTGGTTTACTCCTCAGATGGTCACAGGGGCCCAAGGCCGGGCTAGGCCTAAGCCAGGAGCCTGGAACTCCATCCAGGTCTGCCATGTCAGTGGCCAAGACCCAAGCACTTGGGCAATCTTTTGCTTCAAAGCTATATTTTGAAATGACCAATGATGACAATGAATTAAGAGCAAAATATTCAAAATTATAAATTGGAGAGTAAACAACCACAGAAATAGGAAAACAAAAATAATTAGAATATTATATGAAGAGCTATGGATAATACATTTAAGACCTAGAAGAAATTGTTCAGTACCAAAACTTTAAAAATTGACACAGGATACAGCAGGAAATAGAACAAATCAATTAACATAGAAGAGATTGGGAAAGTGAATGAAGAACTATAAATAAAAGAACCAACTGAAAGTTTGATTTACAGATGTGTTTTATGTAACTTCTGGGAACAAAAATATAATTCTGAAATTATTTAAATTGCTCTGATACATAGAAATAATGAAATTTTAATGAAATAATTTGATAAAGGAAGACAATAAGAGAAAATATAAGTTACTTGATTTGTGAATATTGTTGTAATGATACCGTATAAATTATTAGTCAAGAATCCAGTAAGGTATTCAAAAGAATAACACAAAACTGGAAAGTAGATTTTATTTTAGGAATGCAAAGTTGTTGCACTAACACAAAATTTATTGAATAATAAATAATCAAAGATAATTTGATTGTTAAAAAAGCATTTATTTGTCATAAAACATCAATAAAAAGAGAATGAGGGAACATACTGATAGACATGTAAAGAAATATTGAAAGCACAAATATACACTCCAAAGTTTTCAAATAACACTCTTCCTAGTAATATTTCCTTTTAATAGGATCAGAAATTTGAGGCAATCATTGGCAAGGGGTCTCTAAAACAGGAAATTTTCTTCTGGCAAGCTGTATCCCTTGTTATATCAGTTACAGTGGTTTATTCCTTTGTGTATTGGTAGCTTATTTAGCATCAGAGAATTACAACTTCGTATACTTTATGACTGCACCCTCTTTAAATTTTGGCATTGTTATTTTCCCAGGTGCAGTTCTTCCAGTTTACTTCTCAGATTGAGATGTACATATTTTTAGAGTCAAGAAACCTTGAGTGAGGGGAACTGAAGTCACAGACTAATGTGCCATGTGTATCAGGAGGTATAAAATTAGTTAGTTTAACTGATAAGTAATTTATATTGTGTGTTAAAACACATTATTATGGATTAAAATTTTGCATAAATTGAGAAAGCATGAGAAAGGTAATTTTTGTGATTATATGGGTCTGCTTTGAAATATGCCCCCAAATCCCTGGAGATGCTTCTGATTCTACACTACTGTTGGGAATATATTGGTAGAAGAGTTTGAGACATACTATCAATATCAGACGTGGACATTTGTCCAGAGGCTCCTCAGTTCACAACGAAGTCATGTCTGTCGCTCCCCCTCTTCATGGAGGAACGACACTAAACCCTGCCTAGGCTTCATATCCGAGTCACGGCACCATTATGTCGCTCCCCCTCTTCGTGGAGGAACGACACAGGACCCTGCGCTGTTCTTTCGTCTGCTCGGCCCTCCCCGGGTTTGCTGCTGCTTCTTCCCGGGTTGGCTACCGTCCCTTCCACCTCTGTGGAAGGGCAGTTCCCCCTGCCACATTCCCCACTTCCGCAGGGGAGCGGCACACCGCCGGCCGGCTCTCTCGGGGGCTGCACAGGTGTTCCTTCGGATGTTCCCCTTAGATGTTCCCCTTAGATGTTCCCGGTGCATGCCGTCTCACTCCTCCTTTATAGTCCTCCTCCACCAATCCTAACTCGGCTGCCCACACACCGAGTACGCTGCTCTCCAATCAGGAGCAAGTCCTACAGTTTATTGGCTGAACTGGAGGCAGCTGTGTAGAAGCTGTTTTCTTCTCTCCCAGCGCCATATTGTGGGAGAGCAGATGCATAGAATAAGTCTTAATTCCAGTAACTTAGTCTAGTCCGAGTTGCTCCCCACAATGTCCTGATAAACCAATTCAAAATAAAAATTTTCCTAAATTGAAAATGCTTTTGTAAACCTAGCCTACTGACATCATGGCTTTGCTGTACAGTGTGGTGTAGATTTAGAAAATCAACTGGTTATCTTTGTGATCTCGAGCTGATTGGCAGTTGGGCTCACTGTCGCTACCTACCATCAAAAGAGTATTATACTGCATGTTGTTTGCCCAAGAGAAAAAGCAGAATTCAAAAAATTTGAATTATAGTTACTACTGTACACAATTATATAGTCAAAAAATGGGACACCATCTGTATCTTTTAAGATAGTTCTAAAAATACAACAATTTTATTGGTAAAATAATGGTTGTGCCAACCCCAAAACAAAATATTTGAGTGTTTTGTGAAGATTCCTATGAGAAAACATTTTAATTGTGTAACTGTACTTCAAAAATTCATGGGAAGTGGAATTAAAGCCTAAATTTATTTTGGTATAAAACCATTTTGAAGTCCATGCATATTTTCATATTATTCATTTTCTGCACACTTATTGAGAACCCCTCATTGGTGCATTAAATGAGAATGATATTCAGTAATCATTTCTATAGCTCTCAGACATGGGACAGAGTCTCCATTGTATTTTGTTACTTGTAAAGAACACAAATTATTAAATATCTACTAATTTTCTTCAAAAGAAAAATTAAGGTGACTTAAAATGTTCCTAGTTAATCTTCAAACACTTATTATTCTTAACTTACCACAATTCTTTAGCATTTCTCATTGTGGATGATTATATATTATATATATATATCTTTATATATACAGAGATACAGATGACCCTTTATAATTCAAAGAATAATGAAGATCATTCAACAAACTAAGCTGTTCTATATTTTTAAGAAAGGATTTACCATCTTTTACAAATGGCATTTGATTTAACATGACTTGAAATGTCAATTTCAGATCTGATCTCACCTAGCTGAGTCAAATAACAAGTTGATTTTTGCAAGTTTGACCCATTTCTCCTTAATGCGGATCTCATTAATATTTTTTAAAGATTTATTTTAATTATTTGAAAGAGTTAAAGAGGTATATATATATAGAGAGATAGAGGTCTTCCATCTGTCGGTTCACTCCCCAGATGGCCGCAACAGCCCCAGCTGAGCTGATCTGAAACCAGGAGCCAGGGTCGTCTTCTGGGTCTCCCACATGGGTGCACAGGCCCAATCCTCTGCTGATTTTCCAGGCTCATTAGCAGGGAGCTGGATCAAAGTGGAAGAGCTGGGACTTGAACCAGCACCCACATGGGATGACAGCACTGCAGACCAGGGCTATAATATTCTGTGCCATAGCACCAGTCCCAGATGTCATTAGCTTTTAAGTTCTTTCACTTGTTTGTTTGTTTTTAGAGATTTTATTTCTTTATTTGAGAGGTAGAATTACAGACAGTGAGAGGGAGAGACAGAGAGAAAGGTCTTCCTTCCGGTGGTTCACTCCCCAAATGGCCGCAACGGCCGGAGCTGCGCCAGTCCGAAGCCAGGAGCCAGGAGCTTCTTCCAGGTCTTCCACATGGGTTCAGGGGCCCAAGGACTTGGGCTATCTTCTACTGCTTTTCCAGGCCACAGCAGAGAGCTAGATTGGAAAAGGAGCAGCCAGGACTAGAACCAGTGTCCATATGGGATGCCGGTACTGCAGGCAGAGCATTAACCTACTGTGCCACAGTGCTGACCCAAATTTTAAGTTCTAAATTAAAGAAGTAGGTGACATCTGATGCTCCTAGGAAATGTGTATTAACTGAAGTAACAAATAAGAATCCTAGTCAAATGGGAACATTGTGGGAGCTAAACTAATTCTTTAAAATTTGGATTTAGAGATATTGATATGTGGGTATGTTTGTGGATGTACTTGCATACACTTTATTACACTGTTGTGCATAACATCTTATTCTTCAAGCCCTATCTCTTTTTATCTGGAAATTAGTCATTGATAGAGTATGCTTATTTGGCAATTACTGTTGATACAAGAATGATTTTCTCATACCCAAACATTTATATGAACACATGAATGCATAAGAGTAAGATTCTTTCTTTCTTCCTCTTTCTCTCTCTTTTTAATTTCCAGGCATAGATATTCTTCATCAACTAGGCCTTGGAGGCAAAGATGTAAGACACTCATCATCAGTGACTGCTCTACCATCATCATCTACACCATTACCTCAGGGGTTCCATGTAACAGAATCAGGTGTCATTTTAAAAAATGACACTTATATTGAGTCACCTCTCATGAACATTTTACCTGCCAATTTAGGACAGTCATTTACAATGTTAATTGGGTTACAGTCACATAGAATGAACAATGCATTTCTCTTCAGCATTAGAAATAAGAATAAGCTGCAATTAGGAGTCCAGTTACTACCTAAAAAGTTAGTTGTACATATTGGAGGAAAACAATCTGTAGTTTTCAACTCCAGTGTTCATGATGGGCAATGGCACTCATTTGCCATTACTGTTACAAACCAAGTTGTCTCCATGTTTGTTGAGTGTGGAAAGAAATATTTTAGCAGAGAGACTACTTCTGAAGTCCCGACTTTTGATTCTAACAGTGTGTTTACCTTGGGAAGTATAAATAATAATTCAGTCCATTTTGAAGGAATAGTATGTCAGTTGGATATTATTCCTGCTGCTGAAGCATCTGCAGACTACTGCAGGTATGGGAAACAGCAGTGTCACCAAGCAGACAAATTTCGACCTGAAACAAGCCTTCTTCGCACAACCATCATAGCAGCCAAGATACCAGAGAGCTCTCCCCTGCCCAAACAACGTGATGAAATAGGACTGTCAGAGGATATATTTACGGAAGGCAAAAGCATTCTAAATATCATCAATGACTCTGCTACAGTGCAAAAAGTACAAGAACACCAGATGTCAAGATCTCAGTTAACATCTCTTCATTCAGGAAATATCTCTGCTGTGGATCTCACCAACTATGGGATTCAGGTCAAAGAAATGACCACTGAGAAACATACACAGACAAATATAAGCCAGTCAGTGACTCATCATCGATTCAGTGATACAAGAATGAATGCCAGTGAGAAACTGATTTCTCCCTTAAATGTTTCTGACAATATCACAGCGTATGATGATAAAGTAACTGCTTTGCCACTGTTTAAGAAAATGTCATCTATTCTTCCACGTTTAAAACAGGATGCAATCACTGATCATAACAAGGCTATCACAGCAAATCTACACACTAATGAACTAATGGAAATGCAACAGATTTTAAATACAACCTTCTATAGAGTGACAGATGAACCATCTGTGAATAACCACCTTGATCTAAGGAAGGAAGGTGAATTTTATCCTGACACTACTTACCCCATTGAAAATAGCTATGAAACTGAGCTTTATGACTATTATTATGATGAGGATCTTAATACACTGCTTCGCATGGAGTATCTGAGAGGGCCAAAAGGGAACACTGGACCTCCTGTAAGTTGCTTTTTGTTTCTGCTTTTACATATACCTTAATGCATTAATATATAATATATTTGAACCCAACAATATACAACAGGTTAGATGTGTCACAAAAATGTGTCCTGGCAGTGAGGAATTTATGGTTGCTCGAATACTTCTGCTAGAATGCAATCCTGGCTTAACATTATACCTCTTTTATTGTAATTGTCAGGATGTAAACACTGCTAAATTATGGTAAAGTGGTAGACAAGCTATATAAGCTATATGATTTTCTTGTTCAGCTGAGACTCAACTAGGAATTCCAGTGCCAAATATAGAGCAGCATTATTTATTTTCAAAAAAGTCATAAACTTACTGCATAGCTGTGCTGTGAGAGGGATATACAAATCATGGTAGATTTAAGAAAAATATAAAGTGAATTTTTGGCCTAGTGGTTAAGACACTTGTTAGGATCCCCGCATCACTTGTTGGAGTGCCTGGGTTTGGTACCTGACTCTCTTTCCTGATTCCAACTTCTGACTAATGAGAAGCCTGGGATGCAGCTGTGATAGCTCAAGTAATTGGATTCCTGCTACCCGTGTTTGAGACCTGAATTGAATTCCCGACTCATGGCTTCATTCCAGCCCAAGCCTCAGCCTGTTGCATGCATTTGGGAAGTGTAGCAGTGGCTAGGAACACTGAACTCTCTCTCATATAAGTAAAAAATTTAAAAAACATATTTAATGCATCAATTAAATATACTTTCAGTCAAATAGCATCAAATAGATTAAATAAAGTGTAAAGTTTATTTTAGATAACAATTATGTTGAAGTGAGTCACTAATGGGGAAAATAAATCCCTGACATTATCATTCTAAGTGAAATACCTTCATTTCCATCAAGAGTAACATATTTCATTGTATATAAATATGGTTCACTGCCTTTATGGTTTAAAGAAATATTCCACCTGCCTTATACAAAAATAATCTGTCAGTCCATTCAGTGGAAAAAAACAACCAAGCAACGTATGTAATAACATGTAAACAAAACTGTGATATAATAAGCTTAATTTTTCTTCCTCTGTTTCTTTAGTTATGGGTACAATTAGAGATCAGCATTAAAATATTTCTCAAATCATTTAAAAACCACTTAAAGCTAATCAAATCACAACATTAGAACAATTGTTTTTGCCTTTTACATTTGTATACCTTTAAGGATTTACTCATGTATTTAGAAATTAATATTTTTCAAAATTGCAAGTAGACTAAAATATATCTTAAAATATTTATTCAGTAAAAATAAAATTTGAGTCATTGTTTTAGTTACAGAAAACAGAATGGGAGAAGATACCACTTTCTTAGCTTGTGTTTCTTTTGTGGTTATTATTTATAGGCATTGAGCAAGTCTTATTACAAAGAATGGTTAGAGATTTAATAGAAAATCTGAAGAATATAATATTATTGGAAAATAAACTCTTTTGAGCTATCACAATTAATGATCAACATTTTGATAGTAAAATTAAATCATTAGGCAGATCATATTAAACAAATAGTTAGGGAAACTATTTACTTGCTTCAGAAATAGACAGTATAGTAAAATAAGAAATGATTTGTTCTACAAATCCAAAAGTAGTCATTGAATATTGGTAAGTGAGGCAATATATTCAACAGATATATTCTTTGTCTCTGCTATGTGCCAAGCAGGAACAAAAATTATAACACAGTCATTGCTCAGAAGCTTATATTTCAGTAATGGGGGATAAAGGAAGTACATTTATATCTCTCTATAAAGTAAGATAAATGCTGCAGGGAGATACAAACTACGTGTATAGGGTAGAGATATTCAAAGTAAGAAAAATAATTGTTTTTAAGTGAATCTTTATGAGAGATCTCTTAAAAGCTGAGCTCTTCAGGATGGTTTTTATAGACTAACAGTTTGTAAACTATGTTCAAATAATTAGTAAAATTTCAATAATTGATTGGAGGGGTTTTTTTACATCAGGAAAATAGCATAGTAGTTAATAAGTTTATACCTCATGAAAGATGTCCTACCACATCCTTCATATACATTATCTGAAAAGAACTTTGTAAGGTTAGCATTATTAAATTCATTTTTTAGGTGAAGAAATTGAAGCCCAGAGGAGTGAATTTACTTGCTCACAAAAACATTGTTGATAAATGATACCGATAAATTTAAACCAAGGTTTTCTACATCTAAAACCCAAACAATTTCATAATATTAGGGTGAATGGTGTTTGTCAAATCATGACCCAAACTAGATGATGTCAGGTTGTGGAGAAGCTTGTCAAATGGATAGTTCTAACTTTATCTAGTTCTCATTGGGGGATTTTTTGAAGGTTCTAAGGATGTGTATTAGTGAGAAAGTCAGTCTGGGAGCAATGTGCAGAATAGTTGGAAAGCTCCTGTCACCATCTTGGTAATATATGGTGTTAGTGGACTAGGCCATTATATATGTTAGCCAAAGTGAAAATTCTAAGGAAAGATTGACTTCAAGAGATATTTTCAAACAAGATTTGACAGACTAGGAAATTTGATGAACCTAGGGACCAAGGAGAAAGGAAGAGGATTGAAAATGAGAATCATATTTTAAGCCTGCAGATTGAGAGGCTGTTGATACCATTACTAAAAGTTATTAAAAGAGGAAGTAAATTTTAGAGGAGGAAAGCATTTAGGTTAAACCATTTAAGTAACTATTGATAGCTCAGTAAGCTACTGAAGAAGTTACAGAAGCTGAAATGAAGAAGAGAGATCAAGGCTAGGTATCTGGATTTGGGAGTTTTCCCATTAATATCATTAGTTGAAGATACACGGTAGGATAATACTTTCAAAGAAAGGAGTTTTGCATATGATAAAGAGTCAAATAATGAGAAAAGTTTGCTTTTTTGTTATAGAAGAGAAAAACAGAAATGTGATGTGGAAAATGGAGAGAAGAATAGTATACTTTCACAAAAGCCAAAGAAGAGAGGTTTGAGAAGAAAGTAATTAATAGTGCTCAAAAATACAGAGAAAGCAAATAAAATAAAAACTGAGCAAAAGTAGGGAAAGTGATGGTTGAACTTCTGTACAGGATAGAAGATTAAAGGTAGATTTTAGAGCACTAATGAGGGAGTAAGATTGGTAATAACGTGATGAATTTGTGGGGATTGTTTCACTGCTTTTAAATGGATATTTCTGTGGTAAGTTTGAGACCAGTTTGGTTTTTCCCATTTCTAGGAAATGTGTACTATATCCATGCAATTCTTTGTATACTCACACAATTTGTTTACCATCTTTAAAGTTCATGAAAATTACCCAGTTCTGTATCGCTTTTTCCTAGTACTGTTTTGATCAGAAAATTATTATAATTTTTTTGACAGGCAGAGTGGACAGTGAGAGAGAGAGACAGAGAGAAAGGTCTTCCTTTGCCGTTGGTTCACCCTCCAATGGCCGCCGCGGCTGGCATGCTGCGGCCGGCGCACCACACTGATCCGATGGCAGGAGCCAGGTACTTATTCTGGTCTCCCATGGGGTGCAGGGCCCAAGCACCTGGGCCATCCTCCACTGCACTTCCCTGGCCACAGCAGAGAGCTGGCCTGGAAGAGGGGCAACCGGGACAGAATCCGGCGCCCCGACTGGGACTAGAACCCAGTGTGCCAGCGCCGCAAGGCGGAGGATTAGCCTAGTGAGCCGCAGCGCTGGCCACAGAAAATTATTTTTATTATAGGAAAATCTCCCTTTATATCCTCAAAGATTTTGTTCTGTTTTTCTGTATTCTTCAAGCACACTGATTTCCATATGTCGAATGTCATTTTTAATGTAGATATATTTATTATCTTATCTATAACCATATCACTGTGACTGCTCTTTTTCAACTCATTTTGTATGGATTCATTTATTCTGCATCCATACACCTATTTTGAATTTTCACTTGTATTTTAATAGTTGCTGCTGATTCTGACATGAATTTCATTGATAATGGCTTCTTTTTTGCTCTTTCATATCTTGCTGAAGTTCTGCTTCACAATGCATTACCTTCATTGTTCTTTTCATCTCTTGTAACTTTTCTTCAAACTTCCTTCTTTTAGAGAAATGTCATCTTGAAATAGTTAGAAGATAGTGAACTATATTGATTGAACTGTTTCTGTGTTGCATGGAGTAATTCTTTTTCTTCATTTTAAAATATTTTCTCATTTATATGCATTTTATTTACAGTGGAGGTAGGGGAGGGGGGAGAAGGAGATAAAAGTGGAAGGGAGGGAGGGCAGAAGGAAGGAAGCAAGGAAGGTAGGTATTTCATCTGGTAGTTCATTGTCTGAATGCCTATAACAGCTGGGGCTGGGCTGGGGTGATGTGAAACCTCATTGTGGTTTTGATTTGAATTTCCCTGATGGCTAATAATTCTGATCATTTTTTCATGTGTCCATTAGCCACATGCTTGTTCAAGTCCTTTGCCAATTTTTTTTAACTTTTATTTAATAAATATAAATTTCCGAAGTACAACTTATGGATTATAGCAGTTTTTCCCCCCATAACCTCACTCCCAACTGCAACCGTCCCATATCCCACTCCCTCTCCCATCCCATTCACATCAAGATTCATTTTCAATTATCTTTATATACAGAAGATCTACTTAGTATTTACTAAGTAAAGATTTCAACATTTTGCACCCATATAGACATGCAAAGTATAGAGTACTGTTTGAGTAGTAGTTTTACCGTTAATTCACTAGTACAACATATTAAGGACAGAGATCCTACATGGGGAGTAAGTGCACAGTGACTCCTGTTGTTGATTTAACAATTGACACTCTTATTTATGACGTCAGTAATCACCCGAGGCTGTTGTTATGAGCTGTCAAGGCTATGGAAGCCTTTTGAGTTTGCCAACTCCGATCTTATTTAGACAAGGCAATAGTCAAAGTGGAAGTTCTCTCCTCCCTTCAGAGAAAGGTACCTCCTTCTTTGATGGCCTGTTCTTTCTGCTCGGATCTCACTCACAGCACTCACAGAGGTCTTTCATTTAGTTTTTGTTTTTTTTT